GGTAGTGAGGGATGGGGTTGAAGACCAGATCACAGCTGAACCGAGTCACTAATCAAGGCACATTTAACTTATTTTACTTTTATCCTCTTCACCACTGATTGGCTCGTTAGCCGCTTGGGTGATCGGTCACGTCTCTGTTACTTTCCCTTTTCTTTTATCCTCTTCACCACTGATCGGCTCGTTAGCCGCTTTGGCGATCGGTCACGTCTCTGTTACGCACTGTTGGCAAGTACTGGGCATGCACCAGCCCCTGAATGTACCTGAACCTGCTCCAGTGTTGGTCAAGTCTTGTCTAGAAAGAGCTCACACTCTGTGCCATCACAACACTTTCTGGTAGATTGTTCCAAGAGTTAACAACTCTCACTCCGAAAAAGTTTGCCCTCACAGTTTTCTGGACTTGCGGCTTCTTCAATCTTGAGCTGTGACCCCTTGTGAACTGATCTGCAAGCTCCAAGTAAGGACACTCGACTTAGTGCCCCCTGAGAGGTTTATACACCTCAATTAGGTCTCCCCTTGCCCGTCTGTAGTATAAGCTAGGCAGTTCAGGCGCTCCAATCACTCAGGGTAGCTGAGGTGCCGAAGTGCAGGCACCAGTCTGGTGGCCCTCCTTTAAACATTTTCAATCAACTGACAGTCCGTAGCATATCTCGGGGACCAGACAGGGTGACAGTACTCCAGATGGGGAAGCACTTCACTCTTGAAGATCGTTACGAGGGACGGAATGTCTAGATATCTTAACGACCTTCTTATAAGATCCAATAAATTATTTGCCTGATTTACCTTCTCCTCGCAATGGCCCGAGAACTTTAGCTCATTGTCAACATATACACCTAGGTCCTTCTCACATTCAGTCTCAAATAGTGCAGTTTCTTCATCCCGTTGGGACATATGATACGCCTCCTTACCGTTGGTACGCCCCAGGTGCATCCTCTTACACTTCGTGACATTGAATTTCAGCAGCCATTTCTTCAACCATTCTCGGAGCCCACAGAGGTCCTTCTGCAGCTCTTCACAGTCTGCTTGGTTCTTGCTTTCCTGAAATAACTTGGCGTCATCGGCAAACATTTGTATGTAGGAGTGTACAATGTCAGGCATGTCATTTATGAAACAAACAACAGCAGGCCCAGTACACTGCCCTGTGGTACCCCACTTGTGACAGGTACAGATGATGATTTCGTGCCATTAATCACCACACATTGCTTGCGGTCATGTAGAAGGTCATCTATCTACACTAGGACATTTCCCAGAATTCCGTACCCTTCCAGTTTGATTTTCAGCCTTAATAAATTATAATTTCTGTAAAACATTTTTTGTTCTATATCACAATTTTTGTGTTGAAATTTTTTATAATTTATCCCAGGGTTTCAATTGTTTTCTTATTTTGACAACACAACATACATATATCATTTCTCACTCAATATTTTTTTAATTATTTTTATTTTTTTATTTATGGTTCTATTATTATTACAGTATTTATAATTTTTATTATTATTAATTTATTATATCCCTCCCCCCCCCCCAGGCCTTGATGTGGGTCATTAAAAATTACCTGTGCCCGGGTGGGCAAATGACCATAAAAAAAAACTTTTTTTTTCTAAAAAAGCAGTTTTTGTGATATAGTCCAGAATGCAACATCTAGCTTTATACCTACGTATGTTAATGCCTAGCAATAACTCGCCAAGCCAACATATAGGCAATTAAAACAAATAATAATTACTTAATACATAATATTAGGAGGACACGTCGCTACCTGGCATTTAATTGCAGGTTATATCCCAAATATAGTGGTCATAATTTACAAAATGAGTACTATGGGCGAATTTCCGCAACCTGAGTTTCTGTAACGTAAGAGATACCTGTAAAATAACTATGTAACTTGAACCAGGTCTTAAACTAACCAGGGTTTTAAATATGAATCATCGTAATTCAAGGCTTTCCTTTACCCTGAAATTTATTTTATTTTTTTGAGCACTCCAAGAAAAATCTCTCCGTTCTGGGCATTCAAACAAATTTCCGAAAAATTGCATCGTGCATCGGCATGTGCCGAGCATATGGGTGGGTAGACTCAAAATGTTCGTGAGCTATGATTGGCTACTACTCTGTACCTGTACTGTCATATGACTGCATGGGATGCCTAAAATTGGCTGATGTATCTTGCAGTCTATCTCCTCAAACTCTAGCATCATGAGAGTAGTAGCTTGTTTGCTCACAAACTGTGTTGTGCAGTACTGTACCAGCATATAATCAGCCAAGACTACCATTTAAATAGTGTTAATTAAGATGTAAAAAGTAATTATATTCATGCACACTGTAAAGTACAGTACTGTACATTCAGAAAGTGAAAGTACCATATGTACAGTAGTACATATAGCAGAGTGGTCAGTGTATGCTAGTATGTAGAGAGTGTATGTACAGTACAGCAAACAGTGTGTGTACAATCCCTCCTTCATGTAGGGAAAGGAGAATGACATTTAGCAACACCTGCTACAGGCAGGTCATCCTATATGATCATTTCACCATTTGGCTTGCTTAAGACAACGAAATCTGCTATTAAATGCCAGGTAGCGACGTGTCCTCCTAATATTACGTATTTAAGTAATTATTAGATGTTTTAATTGCCTGTATGTTGGCCTGGTGAGTTAATGCTAGGCATTTACATACTTAGGTTTTTAGAAAAAAAATTGCTTTATTTTGCAGGGTCAGGTGTGTGTGAGTAGTAATACGCAGTCAGATGCGCTAGTGCCAGTTCATAATGTAAATAATGTTAGTGTGAAGCAATAAAACTGTATCTCTAATCACTGTTATGAATAAATTAGACATACATAAGTTAAAAAAGTGATAAAATTAGGTGAGTGGAACAGTGAAGATATAAATCCACGAGTAGAAAACATGACGATGTAGCAACATGGTAATTTATGCCACACAGCCACAAACCCTATGCTTCATACTTCCCATCCTGCAAACTCCAAAATGGTGAGTACAGCCAAAATTAGTGTTGTTCTAAAGTTTCATATACCAAATTGCATCTTTTAAGTCCTCCCCCAAATTTTTAGACGACCAGGGGTGACATTTAACATTCCAGAACCCGACCAAGTATGGATCAAGTGTTAATGTGTGTATCATTACCGGGTAAGTGTTTTGGAATGCTTACTATAAAATGTGTGATATCTCTGTATGTATTTTGTAGCAAAAAACATATGATACTGAAATCTTAGTGCTTCAGTGTTATGTTCATACCATTGAGTGTTTTGGATTGATTACAGTCCAGTTAGTAACCAGAAAAGGGTTCAGGTTCCAACAAAACTAAAGCCATAACACATGATTGGTTGGTACCATTTTTCTTAAAATAATGCATTACAATGATATTACTGTACAGGTGCTCCTCTACTTAAGAACATTCAACTTACAAACTTTCAGAGATACAAACACCATCACTGAGGGGGGTTACCTGCCAGAACAGGTGTTTAATGTGGATGAGACTGGACTATTTTGAAGAAAATTCCAGATAGAACAAACATTACCTAAGAGGAGAAGAGTGAGCCAGGTTTTAAAGCTGTATTAAAGGGTATAGCTGTACTATATATCCATAATATTTTCATTTTTTACAATATATTTGGTATCTACAAGAGCAAAGATGGACTTACAAGCAAGCCTCAGGAACGTAACGCGTTCGTAAGTAGAGGAGTACCTGTAGTATGTAACAGTAAGTGAGGTAGTAAATCTGATGACAAGATAGCCACAATTATTTAGGCTGCTTGTACAGATGGGGCTTGGGGGCTTGTGTAACTTCCAACTTCTATTTATTTTTTCTGGAAGTAGGATGACTCCAGAAGGCTGCACCTTAATTGTTTGAGCCGTGTTAATCACCCTGTTTGAATATAGGGCACACATATGCCATTTTCCTTTGTCTATTAGCATACCTGTCATCTTGGTAAGATTTATCCTTCTCCTTTCATGATCTTGCTACCTTTTCCCTCCTTATTCAGTTCCTTCTTCATCCTTCTACCACTTGTTATCTTGTCATCCTTCCTTATCTATTTCTGCTTGTACCTGGTCTCTCTTCCTTCATTATTTATCAAGCTCTTCCCTCTCTGTTATGTGGTTCTCTTTTGATAACTAATCTTTCATTTCCCATTCTGTCTTCACCATCCTCATAGTCCAATTCTTACCAAGACAGCCTTTTAGTTTACCTGACTCTACTCTTCATCCTTTCCTGAATACTCCCTTCCACTTAATCTGGTTTATCTCTCTCTCTCTCTCTCTCTCTCTGATTTATTACTTACTTTCCCTTCCTTCCTTCCTTCAATCCCTGTACTAAAGTTATTAGCCTGGCATTTGATATCTGTTTCTGCATTTTGTTACCTGGTCACCCTCCTTCTTGAGCTGGGGGGAGTCGTTATCGTAAGGAAGCGATTCGTTGTCTTCGAGGTCAGTGTCGAGGGGGTAGTACTGCCCCTGCACATTTGGCGTGGGCAGCCGCTCGATCACCACTGGCAACTCCACGAAGTTGGGTCTGATACATTCCTGGATGATATCTTCCACCTCCTTTTCCATTACCTGTTGGTGTAAATGCATATGGAGTATACAGTGAGTATGCTGTCAGTACAAAATTATTACACAACCTATGATAAATGAGATTAAATTTTATATAATTTACAGTACTGTACTTTACTGAAGCAGCAATGTACATAAATGACTAGAGAGCATGTCAGTGAGTGATATTTGGGGAAGCATATGCTGGTGGGTGATGCTAGATTTTTAGTGACGGGTAAACCAGATAGAAATTTGGGACTTGATGGTTGAAGGGAAGTACCATAATAGAACACATCTGATACTGTAATAAGAATTCATGAATGACATCCAATTTCTGAGAGAACCTGTGTGTGTGTCTGATCTTGATTCTGGTTTCAGGCATTACATTGAGAAAAGGCTTGAATGAACATATATTGCTATGGTAGCTATATCATCTGCTGTGGTAGGCATACAGGGGCAGTACAGTATTGTCAATATGTGTTTGCTGTAGTAGGCATACAGGGGCAGTATTGTCATCATGTGACAGCTGTAGTAGGCATGCAGGAGCAGTATTGTCATCATGTGACAGCTGTAGTAGGCATGCAGGAGCAGTATTGTCATCATGTGTCTGCCCTTGGTAGGCACTGAGTAATATTGCACTAAAACAAATGTAAGTTTATTTTTACCTCCACCTTTTTGGATAGTTAGATTGGCCACCTTTGTCTTTACCCAATGACAAATGGTGTCAAAGAAGTCAAGAACATGTCACAACAAGGCAAAAATTACCCACATGAGCTGTTCAAATGGACTTGAGACTGGCAAATGGTCTTTAACATTACAAAATGCAAGTCCCTTCACACTTTCCTGGATTCTGTCAATAAGGAGAAAGATCTTGGTGTTGTGATAAGTCATTCAATGAAGGTGGCACAACAAGTAACTCCAGCAGTGAGAAAAGCAAATTGAGATTTGGGAATTATAAATGTACCTTTGAATATACAGGTAATGATAGAAAAATTCTCCTTGAACTATACAACTCTCAAGTATGTCCCAGTCTGGATTACTGCGTACAAGCATGGAAACCCTACCTCCAGAAAGATATAACATCCCTAGAAAAGGTCCAGCACAAGCAATCAAGATGATTCCAGAACTACTGTATATCATCTCGATTATCCAAGTTCAGTAGACCTTTCAGACAAGGCACAATATGGAAGATTTCATTAAAATATACAATATCCTGAAAGGAGATAATTACAAACTCGTCAAACTATCTTGCAGAACAAATATCAGGAAATACTTCTTCACACAGATGGTGAGACCTGGAATGGTCTACCAGCCCAAGCTGTAGAATCATGAACAGTACTGGGCTTCAAATAACCCCCTACAAAATTAACATGAACACTGGAGGGATCCTACACAGGCCACTGGCCTCCTTCCCTTGTCATAGCTACTTCTTGTGGGTGGTCATTAGGTAAATAAGTAAGCGATTTTTCCAATTTAGCATAATATATTTGTTTTAGTTTCATTGTGTATTTTTAAAATTGTTGTTATTATAACTGCATTTAACTTCACTACACTTTTCAACTAGTCTCCAGTCATGATTTGAATTTGTCTTTTGATTTAATAGTTTAATTTTTTTAATATTATAACAGTCATGTGTCTTGTTTTATCTTATCATTGTTGATTCTTTTCTATAGATTGCACTGATGATGGCTACTGTGATAATTGAAAGTTAATTAATAAAGAAGAATAAGTGTCAAGATGTTCATTGTGGTGCTTGTCCAGTCTTTGAACCTTACAAACTAGGCACTTGTTTGTTTGTAATATTACCATACAAATAATTACATTATAAACATAATATGGTACTAGATATAAAAGTAGTAACCTTAAACAGGAAGTCAATCCTGTCGATGGGTATGGCATGTTTCCTGGCATAGTTCTGACGTATGCCCGTGAGGAAGGAGTAGGGGAAGAACAGCCCAGAAAACCAGAATACGTCGGGGATTTTCTCGTCCGCCCACCGCTGGAAGAACTTTAGCCTGAAGGAATGCATAATAAGGTAGTAAGACAAACAAGCACAGCATAGGCCTCTTGAGTGAGTTCTTTATCATATTATTATATCAGTCTACTCAAAATTTATGCTTAGTAGACCTGAATCCCATATAATGCCAACTATATGAAACATTATTCTAACACTTTTATGAGCTTCACATATACTTTGTCAAGCATCTTTAAGTTAGCTTGAAAAGTATACAGTGGTCCCTCGGTTAACGAGCGCCTCGGTTAACGAGATTTCGGTTAACGAGTTACCTTCCATAAGATTCTTAACTTCGGTTAACGAGCAATCCCTCGATTAACGAGTATCTTACGAGCCGACCTCCACATGTTTTAGCTTGCATTTGGCGGTCCACCAGCTGTAGTATTAGTCCGCCAATACAGTAATCGGTTCTAGGGCTCAAATTCCTTACCCTTTTAGTAAATATCAAGAAGTTTATACTATTAAATAATTTTAAAAGTTTAATATTAATTTTTTTTAGTTATATAAACAATTATTGAACATAATTGAAGGTAGGGTCACTAGTTTGTGGCACGCCATCCAGCCTGCCAACACAGCATACAGGCGTCAGTCTGTGTCTTTTCAGTGGAGGTAACATCTTGCTTGAGAGACTCTTCAACTAAACGCTTTTTTTCTGTGTTTACAGGCAAATTGTTGGTCATTTTGAAATTTATTTTACATATTGACAATATATGATGCAGTGCAGTGTTGATTTAAAGAAAATAATCTTGAATTACACCAAGAGAACTAAAATTTTATGAGTGAAATGGCGCCATGGGGTGACTTCTCTTCCACCCCAATTCCTTCTCTTCTCCCTTCTCCTCCACCCCCATTCTAATTCCCATCATCATCATCATCATCATCATCCACGAGCCTTCTACATACACACCTCAAAGTAAGTGTACTTTTCTACCTTTTTTGTTGAATTTAGGTAATTTTCGGTGAGCTGGAACCAATTACCCAAAAACCCATTGAAACAATGGTTTCGGTTAACGAGCAACCTTCTAGAACGGATTGTGCTCGTTAACCGAGGGACCACTGTACAGTAATACCCTAGTTTACGCAGTTCTCGTTTACGCGTTTCCACATTTACGTGGTACCCCGCCAGAACCGGAATGCGGCGCGGCAGGGTGCGCACAAGGTCGCCCAGTCATCAAAACATTACTGAGTTCTTCACCCGCCACCCACCACAGCCGGCCCAAGTCAGTGATAGTGAGGATATGGACTTTGAGGGGTTTGACAAAGAGGCCCTGCAAGCCTCTGTGGTGGATAGTGATATAATTGATACAAGTGATACAGGTGAGGGCCAATAATCTGCCCTCTGCCTCGGAACCAACCCCCCATCCCCGTGTGCCCAGCCATCTTTTCTACTAATGTAAGTGTTAAAAACCTAATATTATTGATATTTCTCTTAATTGTGTGCATACCATCATAAAATTAAGATGTTATATTTACTACAACGTAGGTATTGTGTCTGAAAAAGTGTAGTTTGGGAGTCGGCCCGGTCTCTATTTCAATTAATCCCATATGTTATGTTGTTCACTTTACGCGTTTCTCGTTTTACGTGCTACTCCGCGGGTTCAATTGACCGCGTAAATCGGGGTATTACTGTATTTAAAAGTATCTACAATTTATGTCAGTAAATTGTACCTGTAGTCTGATACTGTGCAAGTATCCCTCATTTAAAAGTGTGTGTGTGTGTGTGCACACAGGGTGGTGTAATGCATCTAGTGTGACAGCATTATATTAGTGTTAAGCTGCAAGCACTGTTTGCTACCTCTCGCTTTCAGCTGCCGCCGCTGGCTACCTCTGATGACGAACAAAGAAGCAACCTTCTGTAAGTCTTCCCCTAACAGTACACAGCCTCTTCACCATCAAAACTCCTGCTGTGCCTCCTCGTGGCAACACATGATAACTAGGTGCCTCGTGGGGCCAGGCTAGACCAGCAGGGGATCTCGGAGCAGCAGTGGGCCCCAGAGGGACAGCACATAGACCGACAGGCATGTGGACATGTCCTGGTGCCTACTAACCACTGCCTTGCAGATTAACCTTGGTAGGTATAAGACTACGGGTGTAAACCCTAAGCGAAAAATCTGAAGCGGAGACATGCTTACAGAACTCCAGTAAGACCCCAATGGCAGTGTAGGTGGAAGAGATAACCAACAAGGGAACCCAACGACTACACCAGCAGATGAAGGCAATGCAAAATGGACAGGCTAATAAGGCAAAACCCAACAAACTGGGCTATTGGCAGTCCATTGCAACTCTCCTCCCCATTCGTTGCAACTACCTGCACCACTGGACCAGGACAAGGGAGAGCCATGGTGTGTGGTTGCAGTCTGTGCTCTTGCCTCACCACATAAATCAACTCATGCACAGCCATCACTTACTACTACTCATCATACTCGATTCTGAGAGACAGCAAAGTAGGTGGGGTTGCATTCCTGAAAAATCTAACATTAAAAAAAAATTATTACTAAATGAGGATAACATCGAAGCATGGAGGACAAGCAACAGGTTTAAATGTCATGGCAGTAAACAGCGAGGACTGAAGTCCCTAATAATAATAAATGAGTTCATTACGAATAGTTTCAAAGTTAAACGACGGATTTATTAACACAAAAATTCAAATTGCATACATGTACTGTACTACAACATCTTTTAAGATAAACAATAAAGTTGATAAATAGCATATTATAAAACAAAAGCACATATTTTATGTAAAAAAAAACCCAGCTCCTTCCACACTCAAACCAGCTGAGCACTCACTCAGTTGACTTAGAGATGTGTGCGTGCCTGCTGCACTGTGTGTATGCTGTGACATCACTGCCCACACATACAAACCCATGCTCTTCATTTTTCTTATTACATAATTTTATATGATATTTTCTTTATTTCTAAGCCACACTAGAGTATTGTAATGATTTTTTCACAACTAATATAGTTTCGATTACATGTAACAATGGAAACATGATATCTCACAGGCCACCTCATCTCCAGCTTTTCCCACTTTCACAGCAAGTTGAGCTAAACCGAATTTTGATTGTCCTCAACTACCATGAGAGAATGGAGCGCCTGAACTTGCCTAGCTTATACAGGTTATACCTCTCTAGTCTGGCAACCTCGGGATCTGACTGGTGCTGGACCATGGAAATTCACCCTTTTCCTGCATAGATAGTGACTTGTGCTTATGCTTGGAAGCACTAGTACCACTTTCTCTGCATCATGGTCTCTTTGAAGACATATTGAAGGGTTAAATATCGTATAGTAGCTTCTCAAATTTCGCGAGTTTTTAATTCTTAACGTATTTTATTGGAACACACAAAAAAATAAATAAATAAAAATTTTGACGGCGGAAACTTGAATTTCGACGGGTTTGAACGGCCCGCCAACGTGCAGACGACGTGCATAATCGTGTAAACAGCGTCATTCCTCTTATGTACAAAAGATTCATTATTGTTCATGACTGAATGTCTTTTTTATTGAATTAATGTTACGTGTGCAAATTGAGCAATACAATTCATTAATAATATGTAGAATATTAAAACACATGAGGAAATGACACAGCATTGTTTTCGTTGATTACAAAACCAGTGACTGACTGGTTCTACATATAAAACTGAAGAAAATAAGACTTTGGTTGTACCTGTAGTAAAATTAATATGGTTGTTTTAAGTAATGTTATTTAATGTTAATAAATGGAACAATAGAAGTAGCTAACGATAATGGTAAGGAAAAAAGAGAGATCGCGTATGTAGGTGCGCATGCGCACACGTGAAAACATATCGTCATTACTTTACATAAGAATATGAAAGCAACACTTATTTACTGTTCATATATATTTTAATTAATGTTTCTGAATTTGCTTTTATTGAATTACCGTATATCACGGCCTATAAGGCGGCGGGGTGCATAAGACGCCCCCCCCAAATTTCCATTTAAAAAGTAGCTTTTGAGCTCTATTTGCTGTATAAGACCAGTACCCCAAATGTGACACTTACCCACTGACTCAGTAGTCCTTTACCAACCATCCTTGATTTTTTAAAATAAGGCCAATTCACTTCAAGTAATGTCATCAAATTATACCCGCTGGTGTAGTGTAAACACTAGTGACGTCACTGAAGCGTGGTGGGAGTGTTCCCTCGTCTCGGTGGTGTGACTATTTATACAACATGTGGTTCAACAGCAACCACCGTATTCTAATTGTGGTGTTTCATTAGGATTTGAGTGAAAAAGGTTACCAGTATGTATTACTACATACATTTATTACACATATATATATATATACAGTGGCCCCTCGGTTAACGAACTCAATCCGTTCCAGAAGGTTGTTCGTTAACCGAAACGTTCGTTAACCGAAACCATTGTTTCAATGGGTTTTTGGGTAATTGGTTCCAGCTCACCGAAAATTTCCTAAATTCAACAAAAATTGTAAAAAAGTTCACTTACTTTGAGGTGTGTATGTAGAAGGCTCCTGATGATGATGATGATGGGATTTAGAATGGGGGTGGAGGGGAAGGAAGAAGAGAAGGCATTGGGGTGGAAGAGAAGTCACCCCATGGTGCCATTTCACCCATAAAATTTTAGCTCTCTGGTTTAATTCAAGATTATTTTCTTTAAATCAATGCTGCACTGCATTATATATTGTCAATATATAAAATATATTTCAAAATGACCAATAATTTGCTTGGAAACACAGACAAAAAGCATTTAGTTGAAGAGAGTCTCAAGCAAGATGTTACCTCCAGTGAAAACAGAGAGAGACTGACGCCTGTTTGCTGTGTTAAGAGGCTGGATGCCGCGCATTAAACTAGTCACTTTACCTTCAATTTCGTTCAATAATTGTTAAAATGACTAAAAAATTGAATATTAAACTTTTAAAATTATTGAATAGTATAAACTTCTTGATATTTACAAAAATAGTAAGGAATTTAAGCCCTAGAACCGATTAATGTATTGGCGGACTGATACTAAAGCTGGTTGCCCGGTCAGTGCAAGCGAAAACATGTTGAGGTCGGTTCGTAAGAAGTTCGTTAAGCGAATTTTTTTTCGTTAACCGAATTGAAGATCCTTATGGAAGGCAGTTCGTTAATCGAAATTACGTTAACCGAGGTGTTCGTTAAACGAGGGGTCACTGTATATATATATATATATATATATATATATATATATATATATATATATATATATATATATATATATATATATATATATATATATATATATATATATATATATACTGAAT